ATAACCTCATATGCATGCAAAAGCTGGACAGTAAATAAGGAAGACCATAGAAGAATTGACACATTTGAGTTACGGTGTTAGAAGAGAATACTGAAAGTGCCATGGGCTGCCAAAAGAACCAACCATGTTGGAAGAAGTGCAGCCAGAGTGCTACTTGGAGGCCAGGATGACCAAACTTCATCTCTCATACTTCAGACATATTGTCGGGAGGGACCAGTCGCTGGAGAAGAATATCATGTTTGGTAAAATGGAGGGTCAGAGAAAAAGAGGAGGACCCACAATGAGATGGATTGGCAGAGTGGCAGCATCAATGGACTCAAGCATGGCAACAATAGTGAGGATGGCCCAGGATTGGGTAGTGTTTCGTTCTGCTGTGCATAGGGTTGCTATGAGTCAGTACTGACTCGATGGCACCTAACAACAACAACCCCTTTTCTGAGTTTCTGCAATCAGTTCATGCCTTCAACCTCAGCTCCCCTATGCAATCCTCTTCAAATTCCTTCCCTCCTCACCATCAGAGTTGCAAATCTACGTCTGGTTAGAAACTCTGCAAGTTTCCTATCACCCATATATCACTCAAATCTTGCCTACTATGCATGCTGACCCACTTACTTACTAACACTACTGAACTGCTTGGCCATTTCAGGAACACAACTCACACCTTAATAATTTAATTCATGTTTTTAGTGCCTTCAAATTAACTTCTATTCATCGTTCAAGGCTCAATTCAGATGACATCACTTTCAGGAAATTTTCCATACCTTCCCCTACATGTATACCCTGTGTTTATCACTACCAACCGTTTTACCACCCTCTCTTCCCTAACAAGAGCAAAGCTTTACTCATTGAACAGGGTAAAAACAGGTCTGATTCAATCTAGCACACGCGCGTCTATCTAGCACATTGGTGGGATGGGAACAGGGACTCAAAAAACTTAATCTACCCATAAGAGCAGCTTTCTAGGCATAGGCTGCTCGGGTCTCACGGCCCGGCCCCAAACACCCTCTCCGGACACCTCCATCCATACCCACCATCTCCTACCCTAATTGCGCTCCCTCTCAATACTTCCAGTCCTCCCTCCAACTACTCCTTCACCTTCTCGAAGCGTTCCTGGTCCCAGGCGTCATCATAGCCGGAATAGTTACCAGGGAAATCGGTGGTATGAACCTAGAGCAAGACACGAGTCTATACGTAAAGAGGCCGAGCCCATCCCCCACTTCGACCCCAACTCATTCCTGTTCCGCAATCCTTCTCTCCCCATTTCAAGGCCACAAGACTTACATTGCGAACCCCAAACTCCCCTAGAACCACGCGGCTTCGCATTTCTTCCACTGCCTGAGCCACCGCCATCTTCCACCGAACCACGTGACACACACACCGGCGCGTGCGAGTTAGTAGGCCCCGCTGTCTCCTTGGCAACATACCCGCGCCTGGAGATTTAAGTATCGCGAGAGTTTGCTCGCCTCTGTCCACGTCTCCAGTTTCCGTGAGTTTGAGCCAAACATCCGGGTTTCTCGTTTTCTGCTTTCCGGTTGATCCCATCTCTCCTTCTCGCCCCTGGACATCTCTCTCTCTCTTTCTCTCTCTCTCTCTCTCTCTCTCTCTCTCTCAGGCCCACGTCTGGCCCGCTTTCCGCGCGCGGGGTACACGGGCTTCAGCGACGGGAGCCCTCGAGGGACATGGCAGCTTCGGCAGCGCCTGGCGGCCCCCGAAACGAAACCAACCCGGAATGGGGAGGGTTCGAAGAAAACATCCAGGTAATGACCCGAAGACTCCGGCTGCCAGCAGCCCCAGGGCTGGCGGCAGCCCAGAAATGTCTTGAGAACTCTTTGTCGGGGCCTATTAGTCCGCACCTAACCTTCGTTCCGCTTGCACCTGCTGCAACACTCCGCTCCTTTGGGTCTTCGTGCACACAGAAATCGGTGGGGTTAGTGCTGACCTGAAAGGCCTTGAGTGATACTCCAGCCGAAAGACCTCAAGTCTCTAGACCTGCCCAGGGCATTAGAAGGAATGTGGTCTTGCTTTCGGGACAAGTTGGGAGGTTGGCCGGGGTCAGGCATGACATTGGAATGGGAATCACTGACACTGGCTGGAAACACTGTGCACACAGACTTGTCTTGGGCCTCTAAAAGACAAAGAAAGCGTTTTTACAGCCATCTGAGACTTTGATAGGCAAAATGGTGAAGGACATGATTGAAAGACAGGGAGAAAAGTTTCCCAGGCTAGAAAAAAGAGCCAAAGCCAGGACCCAACGACTCTGAGAGCAAATGAAGGGACAGAATGGCAAGATCGGTGGTGATTCTAAGCCATATCCCCAGCAGTGGAAGAACAAAACATAAACCCTGGGCGGAGCAGAGGAGAGCCTAAGTGATGGACCAGACAGGTCTAGCAGTCTAGGAGCCCTTGTTTTCACACAGGGTGGAGGCTCAGCTGTGATTGACATGGAGAATATGGATGATACCTCAGGCTCCAGCTTTGAGGATATGGGTGAGCTGCATCAGCGCCTGCGTGAGGAAGAAGTAGACGCTGATGCAGCTGCTGCTGAAGAAGAGGATGGAGAGTTCCTAGGCATGAAGGGCTTCAAGGGACAGCTGAGCCGGCAGGTGGCTGATCAGGTAAGCAAGTCTGGTAACCATGTAAAAACCCAACAGAAAAATAGGCAACAGGCCCCCGAGCCAAGAGTCTCACAGTACCCATGCCCCCACTCCCATCTTCCTCGCTTCAGATGTGGCAGGCAGGGAAGCGACAAGCCTCCAGGGCCTTCAGCTTGTATGCCAACATTGACATCCTGAGACCTTACTTTGATGTGGAGCCTGCCCAGGTGCGAAGCAGGTGAGGATTCTTCTCCTGACAGTAACACCTAGTCCTTCATCCAGTCAGCAACCAGACCCCAAAACCTCAAGACCTCCATTCTTCATGGACCCAGTACCTCTCATCATTGTACCTTGTGCCCTAGACACACCATACCACTGAACACAACATGGTGCTAATACAGTGCCTTCCCCCTCTACTCCATCTAGTAAACTCATCTTTTGAAACCTAACTCAAATACCACTTCTTTTGCTCCTCATTCCTCTCTTCCGCCCCCCATTCATCCTGTCCTGGTGCTCCACTAGCACTTGGCGCTTTCCCCTCATAGATAGCATGTCAGCATGGCTGCACTTTCTTATTCCTGGGTTTGTCTCCAGAGACAAGCAAGGCTCCTTGTTCACCTTTTTATTCCTGGCACCAGAATTGTCTGTGAGCCAGAATATCAGTGCACAGTTGCTGAATAAACTACTCAAGAACTGGATTTAATCTTAGACTTGGCTCTTTGTTTGCCCCTTAATTTAACTAATGCTTATTCAAATGCCCACGACCACTCAGCAAATAATAATTGGTCATATATTTTTTTATTAAGCACATCACTATGCTTGCAGTGTCTCATTCAGTAGTGAAGACAGACAGAAGTTTTGTCCTGCTGTGTGGTTTACAAGACAGTCCTCTGTGATGGAGACACACCTGACCCAGGGCGGCTGGGGAATGGGACAAGGCAGTTATCCCAAAGGAAGTAAAATTTAACTAAATCCAAGGTAGCATCAGGAGTTAGTCACTTAAGAAGAGAGCAGTCAAGTGACTTGTACTTTGATTCTTTCTGCTGAGAATTTTCATTCCACTTCAAATAAGCTTGTCAGGAAAATCCCCAGTAGTTCCTAGAGGAATGGTAAAGCAGGAAGTGGCAGAAGGACAGTCTCCTCAGTGACATCGTCTAAATCTCTCCCAGGGTTTCACTGTCACAGCCCTGAATGCTGAGCTTTACCCGAGGAGCAGGTCAAATAGTTCCTTCCGTAGTCAGCCCTCCTCCCAAGGGTTTTTTGAATCCTCTATGTTGCTGCTGATTCCAGCATCAGTGGCCTGTCCTCCTTGGAAGTATTTTTTTAGAGGCAACAAAGTGATTTCCCCATGCCTTGTCTATCTGTCATCCTATTCTCCCCCAGTCATCTTAACATGTCCTCTGGGCAAGGCCCCATGCCCTGGGATTAGATTATGAATAAGACTCAGGCCTTGACCTCCAAAACTAGTGCTGCCTTTATGCTAATCTCTCCTCTCTCCTCCTCTCCCAGGCTCTTGGAGTCCATGATTCCTATCAAGATGGTCAACTTCCCCCAGGTGAATAGAGGGTGTTGGGAGAGCTGAGGGAGGAACCAAAGTAGAGGGTGGGCCATCATCACGCAGAGCCTGGGGAGGCATAACCAGGAGAGCCTGAATGAGTGGTTATGTTGACAGAAAATTGCAGGTGAACTCTATGGACCTCTCATGCTCGTCTTCACGCTGGTAGCTATCCTCCTCCACGGGATGAAGACATCTGACACCATTATTGTAAGCAGAACAGAGGCCTTTGGGGGGTGGCTGAACTAGGTTGAAAGCTGCCCAAGGAGAGGATGATGGAGTGGTGTAGGATCAGTCCTTAAGGAAGACCCTGCGTGAGGCTGAGATCAGAGACTTCTCAGGGCTAAGCACAAGCCTTCACTCCACAGAGGGAGGGCACTCTGATGGGCACAGCCATTGGCACCTGCTTTGGCTACTGGCTGGGCGTCTCGTCCTTCATTTACTTCCTCGCCTACCTGTGCAACGCCCAGATCACCATGCTCCAGATGCTGGCACTGCTGGTAAGGAGTCATGCATGGTGGTGGACAAGGGTGATCTGCATGCTTCCTGGTTCCACAGAACTCAGGGCTTGGAATGGGAGTCACTGGCCCTTTATTCACCAGGGTCTACATAAAGGGCCAGAGGTCAGCCCAACCTGAGTGATTTTCCTCTCCACCATCCTCCTTCCTAGGGTTATGGCTTGTTTGGACACTGCATTGTCCTATTCATCACCTATAACATCCACCTCCATGCCCTCTTCTACCTCTTCTGGCTGCTGGTGGGTGGGCTGTCCACCCTGCGTATGGTAAGCTGAGTCAAGGGGTCTGTATCCCCTGGGAGTGTGCCTGCCTCTGGGGAAAACAGCCAGGAACTGAGGTGGAACCTCAGAAAGGGTTTTGAATGGATGGGGACAGTCCAAGATGGTTCTCCCCTGGGTGGGGAATCTGCTCTCCAGCCCTCACTGGAGCAAAGCCTCTATTCTATTCCTTGTGGGCCTAGGTGGCAGTGTTGGTGTCACGGACTGTGGGCCCCACACAGCGCTTGCTCCTTTGTGGCACCCTGGCTGCCCTACACATGCTCTTCCTGCTCTATCTGCATTTTGCCTACCACAAGGTGGTAGAGGGTAAGTGACAGGGAGGCAGGGGTCGTGGATAGTTGCCAGGGCTACCCTAGTAGCCTGGGGGGGGGGGGCAACTAACTCTCGCTCACCTTCCATCGCCCTTCTTTCAGGGATCCTGGACACACTGGAGGGCCCCAACATCCCGCCCATGCAGAGAGTCCCAAGAGACATCCCCGCTGTACTCCCAGCTGCTAGACTTTCCACCACCATGCTCAACTCTACCGCCAAAGTTGTTGCGGTGACCCTGCAATCACACTGACCCCAACTGAAACCCGTCGCCAGCCCCCTCTCCCCCAGCTGCAGCGTGGAGGAAGATTAAAGGACAGTAGTGATGACATGTGTCTCTTTGATGGGGTCTCCAGCTGCCACAGAGCTATAGCTGCTTAAGCACTTCCTTGCTGCCTGCCAGGGCTCCTGAACTGCTGGCTAGGACTGCAGGCTCTGCAGCCAGTGCAAAAAATGGGTCAGCTCCTCTGAGGCCCCCTCGCCACCTACCCTTTCCTTCCTCTTTCTCTCTCTCTCATATTGTCTTGCTAAATATAGACTTGGTAATTAAAATATTGATTGAAGTCTAGAACTGCAGCTACCATTCCAGTGGTCCTGCCTGCTACTCAACTTCCTGTCCACACAGTTAGGCTGTCGGCAGTGGTAAAATGGCACCTGTTCCCTTCTTTATCCCCTCAACCCCGGCAGGACAAAGGTGGGACAGGCCAGCATACAGTGGAGGCAATGCTGAATGTGGAACGTGCCCCTGAGGGCAGGGGATACTGACTGAGCCCCGGAGCACCAGGAGGACTCAAGCACAAGCAGAATGCTGATGGAAGAGTGCACCAACACTCTTGGAAGCCAATGAATGGAGCGATGACAATGGGACAAAAACTTCCTGACCAGACCCTATGTGATTACAAGGCCTATTTATGTACCTGGGTCACTCTGTAGGGATACTTTTTCTGTGGGAGCTCACATTTGAAGCCAAACTTGGCTTTGCCTTCATTACACTAAAGTTAAAGAAACAAAGATTTATTCAGGTGTTTTCTCTGTCATTTCTTTTTCTTAAAGATTGCTGTTACTTTAAACAAAACACTACCACAGCACCAAGCACCCTTGTTGTTAAGT